TTATCTTGTCTTGATACTTGTGCAAGTTTAACTCCTTTTGAGCTGATATTTGACTTCTTGTCACTTGGTTGATCAAACCTGCAATCAAGCACAACTTGTGAGCCTTTGGGACTATTTTGTACACATTTCTAATAAAAACTTAAGCAAGAAGAAATATAAAATGTATCAAAATCCCAAGTTATCAGCGCGACATCGCGACTTGTTCAAACAAATTCCATAAATCCTAAAAGTAATTCAAATTCTATTAAAAGCGGTTAGAAAGCTAAAAATGCACAATAGGTTCAAATATGTATTAAATTAGATAATTAGGCCAATTATTAATAGTTGAGCGGCCGTGCTAAAACCACGGAACCCGAGAATGCCTAGCACCTTCTCCCGAATTAACAGAATTTCTTACTCGGTCCTCTGTGTTCGCAGACTTTAAAATAGAGTCAAATTTCCTCGATTTGATATTTAAAGTAAACTGGTGACTTGAGACACTATAAATTACCCCAAATAGCACTCTGAAATAAATAAATAATCTCATTTCGATTAATATCACCTTAATTGGAAAAATTCTCCTATCTCTTAGGGGAAAAGGAGGCGTGACAGTAGCAACCTCATCGCCAAGGTTCGAGACCTCCTTCTCCAGTGCCCCAATCCTCTCATCAAGTCGTGCCTCCTTGAACGTGGCCATCTCCAAATCATTCGCCCATTCAAATTGGAGGACGTGGATCGAATCTTCCAGTGCCGATATCTTCCAGTGCCGATATCTTCGCCGAAACTACTAACCGAGGCGACTCGCCTTCTCCAATTCTTCCATCTTTTCAACAACCTCATCAACCCTTATCATATAGTGCTTAAGCTCGGCTCGCAGACATACCACTTGGGTCTGGAGATCTGCACACTCAACTTCAACTCCCTTGCTCACTTCAAGCTCTTCTTCCTTCTCCCTATACGCCCCCTCAAGCTCGCTGCATTTGCTGGTGACCTTCATAAGCTCATCGTCTTTTATCTTCAGCTCATCCCTGATAGCTTGGAAATTCCCACTCATACCAAACGCCAACAAATCTCGAGGTGCTTGTTGCGGTACTCATGGTACTTCCTCTCCATCCTTTTAAAGGTAGCTCGGCGGCTCTTCTCTCGGTGAGCACTCTTAACCTCCAAGATGATGGTCTGAAAAGAACAGTAGAGAATCTAAAAAAAGGCAGGCAAAGAAAAAGATGCAAGGCATAGAAACTAAGGATATAGGAAAACTTACCCTCAAAGCAAGGCCAACTATGCCCGTCGATAGGTGGCGTCATTAAACGTTGCCAAAGCCGTACCTTCTATATTAGAACAAAGGGGACCCAAGAAGGGGACTACGTCCTCCGTGTTTATCAAAAGGTCATGGTATATAGGGATCTCAATGGTACGAGAAGACCCATCCAGCCTCATCTCCACCAGAGTAAATCCTTCATTATACTTCCGCACCTCCTCGGGGTCGATATCGAAACCGATTTCATAACTATCTTTGACAACATCTTTTGCCCTCTCCTCAGCCGATAAAGGTATGCCGACCAGCCTCGAGGATGAGGGCTTGCTCACTAACACGGCATCAACAGCCTCAGATGGCCCTCCAATTTCATCTCTACCCTCGGGTAAAGGTGACCTTTCCGCAACCTCTACAGACAATGGCATCTCAGGAGGGATAGCATCACTCTCCAATACGACAGTTGTTAGTTCATGTTCATCCCTCGAAGAGCCCACTGCTCGGGTGGTCCCATCGCCCACATCCACTATTCTCCTTTTGTAGGGAACCAAATCTCCATCACTTGGCGACGACTCGTCTATCAAGTGTACCATAGGAGAAGTCGGGGTCTCTACTGGCTGAGCCGCCAATGGTTGGCTGGAACTATTCAACACTTGGGGTTGAGAAGAAGTGGTCGGCTGGGAAGGCTTATCCGCAGCCACAATGAGAACGGAGCCCGTAGCAGTACTCGATTGGTGGAATGCCGGAATAGGAGCTCTCGCCCTTCTCGAAGCTCTCCAACCTAACACCGAAAAACAAAAGGTTAGGTCAACTATCCACAATTCAAAAAGAAAAAAATATGGCGACCCAAAGGTCAAAGCGGCTAAAAACTCACCAGTCGTCGAAGCCTTGGGCCCGAACTTCTTGAAAAATGCAGCCATTCACGAAGCCCACAGTATGAGGGAAAACCTGGCTAACCCAGTCATGGATGTTCGCATCCAACGAAGGAGGCTCTTTCTCGGCTGAATAAAAAAATATATACATATATAAAAATAGAGCGATTACACTACTACCGAAATAAGCGAAATAAACGGTCGGTACTTACGAGCAAAGTTCCACGCCTCAGGAAAATCATTAGTATTCCTCACTACGTCCTTAGTCTTGACTTAGAAAAAGTTGAACTAGAATCGACGATTGGCCTTATCGTCCATCTTCACTACCAAACTCTTACCTCCACGATGACAAAGATGTAACATCGTCCACCTATGGAAACTGAGCACATAGAGGTGCAGTAGATGGCGGATAGAGATCCCAGGGTTGGCCAGTTTCGCGTACTTCGTCAACATGAGAATGAGTTTATAAATGTAAGGGGATAGGTGGGCCGGGCAGACGCCATAATAACAGCAGAAATCCTCCGCCAATGAGGTAAGGGAAAGAAAATAGCCCACAAGGAACGGATACGCATAGAATGCGCAGTATCTAGGGCGATGAACCTGTACTACATCATGACTGGCTGGGACAAGGTCAATATGGGTCGGGATTCGGAACTTAGCCCTAAATTCAACAAGGGTTGTCGCGTCCATCTTAGATTCAACGGGCTCAGGATCATCTTCAGGCCGCTTCGAGAAGTCCGACCTGGCCTTCTCCAAGCGAGGGATTATTTCATCTACAGTAGGGAAGCTTTCATCCCCTGCTTCAATGGCTTACCCTTCATCGTGAGGGGGCATGTCCACTGATAATGGAACCGGGTCAGAGGTCCCCTCAGGGTTGGAAGATGCACTAGCCATATTTGTTACGTATATGCGAAGGAATTGCAAGCACAGAGGAAGTGATAATGGCGAAAGTTGTTGAAAGCAGGGAAAAACAGGGATGCAAGAGCACAGAGAAGAAGAAAGAAAAGCCTAGAGATTCGAATACTTGAAAATGCAGCAAATCAAATGGGAGGTTCCCGTCCCTATTTATAAGAACACATGCACCCTAATCGAGGATACAAAGCGTCACTGAACTAATTTCAAAACGGCAGGGGCGCGGGAAACGGCGTAATATATCGAAAAAATGCGCTATAATAACACATGATGTCATTCTAAATCGGTGTAACGGTCGGTTGTGGATCACCTCTTCGTGAACGTTATTATTCGACCTGCCCGTCTAAATTTCTAAAGCTGCAACTAACGAAGTCCGCCCATCGAGGTCATCCATAAAACAACCTCGATAAGCGGAGGGACTAACTGTATGGGTCAAAATCCAACTAAGGAAATCTGGCACGAGGAGAGATTATTAGAGGTGATTAGGCCGAGGTCGGATGAAGATTAATGGAACTTATTGTCGAGCTGTCGATTATGGCCGAGGACAAGTGTTCAAAGCAACAGTAACAACTAGTTTTGTAATAAGATATTTGGGAGAATATTCCATTTAATATTCTCTGTACTTGTACTTTTAGGTCAGATTAGGAGCATGACCCATATAAATAGGAAGAGAGAGAAGGTAAGGGGCATGTATTATTGATTTTGATAAGAACTCTCTTGAAAAGTTGACTTTCTAGATAAATATAAACACAATATTTCTAAATAGATTCAATTCGTTGTTTATTCTATACTTTTCACATCAGATCCGAGAAAGTCTTCAATATTCTGTAGTTGTTTGTTTTACATCATTGTAAGAAAGAGGAATCATCCACCTCATTAAATATTGGGTGAACCATTCTCTCTATTTACATTTAGTGTCATTTATTATTATTTATTGCTTATCATTATTCTCGCCCCATCAATAACCGTAACATTTAATGTGTATTGCAATAAATCTAATCTGACGTGGTCCCATGTTATCTGCATAAACTGCTTTTGGATCTAAAGTTATTATTTTTAATTAGGATTAACCCCTTGTCTATTTATTTACTTAGTTTAAGCAAAGATATATTTTTTTTGGTCAAACATATATATAATCCAATTAACAAAAAAAAAAACTTACCAAAAACATGTTTTGCCAAGAAAGGGGGATAGACAAGGAGACTAGGTGTTGGTTGATGGCAGATCTTTTAACTACTTCGTAATCATAAGTTAGGTACAACTTTTTCTCCAAAGAAATTTTATCTTCATAATTTAATGACACGTCTGCATGAATAGGACTAAAACATTATTTAGTTGAAAAGCTCAGGAAAATAGTACCGCGTAATAAAAAAACAAGAAACAAGCTCTTCTTTAATTATTTCCTTAAACTAATTCAATTCAATGAGAGGCATTACGCATAAATGAAACTGCATAAATGAAACTGAATCTCCAGAAACCAGATAATAGCAGCTAACCAATTTTTATTTCTTTCTTTATACCAACATATCACTTAGCACACTCTTTCAAAATGGATATTTGGTGCTCGAACTAAGTCCTAATTCCTAAACTTGGAAACGTAACGCAGAGAAATTAAAAATATCTTCTGCAAAAACGAGTTATTTACTTCTAAATTCTAAATGGTATGAGATAAATATTTATTAGTACCACATTTTAATCCTAGGAATAGGACATTATTTAATTTTCAAATAAATGCAACTTTAATATGGTCAAGATATTTGATCAGACATATAGTAATTAGTATATACCATTTTAATCAGATAGGCATTACTGTTTTTATTAGGCGAAAAAAGGACAAGAAGAGAAGAGAAAAAACAAAAATACGTTCTACTTGTAACAAATGGGGTACCTCCTAGGCACGCGTATAAAGAGAAGTTCACACGTGCTAAGGGACTGTGATTCGGTACGGTCAACCACGTGATCGCACTTCCTCCTAGGCCCTAATCCACTCCCTCTTATATTATTCTTCGTCCGCATTTGACCAAAATTAGCCTTCTCTCTTTAACGCTTACAGCCACCAAAACGCAGCCGTTTTAAGCCTCTCATTTTCCAATATAACACTCGCCGGAGACAATTTAACGGCGACGATAGTAGACAAACTGTAAGAATAATCTCCGATAATGGAGACTGAAGTTCAATCGAATTTCACCTATTTGGGAAGAACCTTCACAAATCTCAGTATTAACTCAAGTTCCTCAGCTTTCAGCGATTGCAACAGTGATAGATCCGGCGAGTTTCCAACGGCTTCTTCACAAAGCCGGCGGCTATTTTTGTCCTGCGCTTCCGAAAACTCCGATGAATTAATCGAGCAACTTGTCTCCGGTCTCGAGTCAAGTTCAATCGACGAGCAAAAGCAAGCAGCAACGGAGATTAGACTCCTCGCGAAGAACAAACCGGAAAATCGGATCAAAATAGCTCGAGCCGGAGCAATCAAACCGTTGATTTCGCTTATCGCGTCCTCCGATCCTCAGCTTCAGGAAAACGGCGTTACGGCAATTCTCAACCTGTCACTTTGCGACGAGAATAAGGAACTCATCGCTGCATCTGGAGCAATTAAACCGCTGGTTCGAGCGCTTAAAATTGGGAACTCTACAGCTAGAGAGAACGCGGCTTGCGCTCTTCTCCGGTTGTCGCAAGTTGAAGAGAACAAAATTGCAATCGGAAGATCAGGTGCAATACCTCCGCTAGTGAACCTTCTAGAAACTGGAAACTTCCGCGGCAAAAAGGACGCGTCAACGGCTCTGTACTCTCTGTGTTCCGTGAAGGAGAACAAAGTGAGAGCAGTACAAGCTGGCGTGATGAAGCCTTTGGTGGAACTAATGGCGGATTTCAGTTCAAACATGGTGGATAAATCGGCGTTCGTAGCGAGCGAATTAATATCAGTGACGGAGGCAAGGGCGGCGCTGGTGGAGGAAGGTGGAATTCCGGTACTGGTGGAGATCGTGGAGGTTGGAACACAACGGCAGAAGGAAATTGCTGTTGCGATACTGTTACAGCTGTGTGAGGACAGCGTGGCGTATCGTACTATGGTGGCTCGCGAAGGAGCCATTCCTCCTTTGGTCGCTTTGTCGCAGTCCGGTACCAGTCGCGCTAAACGAAAGGTAAAAAAATATTTTAGAAAAAAAGCAGATAAAATAGTCTATTTTCTGTTTGTTTTTTTTAATTCGACCATATCAGAAACGAATATCGAGAATCCACACCTAGCTTAACTAGCTTAAAATTAAAAGATACAAGTGTAGTTAAATGTTAATCGATTGCATTTGAATGTTCTTATCCATCCATTAATATTGTCATGACATATTAATGATGTAATTAGTTCATTAATGGTTAAACTATTTGATTAAGTTAGCTTAGCACAAAGCTTAGTTGTACAGAGAAAGCTGCTTTAACAATGTGTTTGCCCATAGCTATAGCTCTTTGGGGAACAAAATTTTGGCTAAAATTCATACATTTATTAGATGCTCTTTCTAAATATTCTTAGTTTTGATTAAGAGTATCGAAAGTTCAAATTATAGTCTTATTTAAGGCAGTGTTAAGACTTGGTCCTCATTGTTCACACGTTTAATAAGCAAGGACGGATTCATATATACTTCTATTTTTATCTGTAACATATTTAATATGAAGCTGACTCTTTCCTTTTTACACAAAAGTGTAACTTCTACCTGTTACCTAATGATTAAGGAAGGAAAAAGAGAAGACAAAACATAAAAGAGTAAAATATACAATGATTTAGAGATGAAGTAAGTGGGATAGGTGAGTGTATAAATAATTTGATTTATTTGCTTAAGTAGGGGTAAAGTATATTTTATTGTAAAGTACTTGTATGTCTTGCGTTTTTGTCGTATTTTAATGTGTATAATTGCGGACAGGCGGAGACACTGATTGATCTTCTACGGCAACCAAGATCCGGTAACGCCGCTGCAACAGCAGTAGCAAGAGCCTCTGGTGTGTCAGTCTGAACTGTCCCTACATGTTCCTCTTTTGTTTGTTTCTTTGTTTTTGTATCATACCAGTCCAACAAAGCACAAATTATGGACGAAATAGAAAAGAAATTTACCCAAAAAAAAAAAAGGAAAAGTCGAAAATTGTAAATGCCTTGTGTATTTTAGCAAAAGCTTTGTAAATTTGTGGGTTTTGATTTGACCACGGTTTGTCTTTTCCTTATTTGGTTGGTTTACACTTTACCAATTACTTGTATGCAGATTGTTGTTCCTTTCCCTTTTAGATAAGCGATTATGATTTGAAGTATTCTTTTATTGTAGATGAAACAAATACTGTACTGGCCTGCTACGTAAAAAGCTAAAGTAAACCTTTATCACACGAATCCTTTATATAATGGCAATAATAATAAAGCGTCTGGAAGAATCTTTTTGGTTTTCTTCTTTCACAATTAATTGATTACCTCTCCTTGAGCCCCCACGAATTACGTCAATTGACAAGTTGTTTTAAAGCCACTTTTAATTATAAGTACATTTTTTCTGCACCAATTATTCTTGTTGAGTTTGCAATGACGCGCAACCAATTTCGGCCATTTTTTTCTGTCATTGAATTACATTTAATAATTAAAAATCCAATAGTTCCGACTAAATGATTTTTAAAAAAATAAAATTAAAAATCATTTAGTTGGAACTATTGGAGCTTGCTATCCGTGCTTCTTTCATCTTATATCTTGCTATTTTAGTCTCAGTTTTCTAAATATCTTGTATTGTTATTACTTGATATCAGTGCTTCTTTCATATTTTCTTTAGCGGAGAATTTATCGGAAACAGCCTCTCTACCCGTCCAAGATAGAGATAAGGCTGCGTACATCACCTGCCCAGACCTCGTTGTTGTTGTAGTTGTAGTTGGAACTATTAAAGTATATTAGCCGAACCGAAGGCAAATTTAATTTTCACTGACGACCTAGGGCTTAAGAGAAAAGAAAATAAAGTGTTTGATTTGCACTTCAAACCAAGATTTCAAAGTAGATACTAATCTATGTTGTGTCTTCTGTTATTTCACTTAGAAGCTATTATGTGACTATTGAAACGGCGCATATGGATTTCTCAAGAATTGCAGTTCTGTAAGTCTGATCATCTCACATGGGTTGTGACAGTTAAATTTTATGTTTGTCTTAAAAAGATATCGAAACTTTTTTGAACAAATCAATCAAAGAACATAGAAAGGGTAAATCCTAGTTAAAGATAATTCACTCTAGATCCGAGATGAATAATATGAATAGAAAAACATAGCCGAGTATGAGTATTAGCCGTGATTATGGCCAGATTTAATCGCATAAAGAAAGTTGCATTAAGTAACATTAAGTGGCAATAAAATATAAATAAAGGAAAAGATTCACCCAATCTTGAGTGAGACGGATCTTCTTTCATTTGATAAAGACGAATGATAGACAAATACAAGAACCTTAGGACCCTTTTTGGATCCGAAGAAGGTATGGGATCACAGATCCTCCAGAGAGATGTGTTTACATATTTTCTAGAGAGAGGGAGAGGGAGAGGGAGAGGGAGAGAGCCCCCCTTTTTTTGGAAGTCTTCCCTTCCTATTTATAAAGGGTATCCATAGAAAATCCTAAAAAAGAACAATTAGAGGAATATTCAGTAGAATATTCTCTTTGAGGATTCCAAAGCAAACTAGCTATTTCATCGATGTCCGACCTCGGTCTTAGTAATGATTGTCCGACCTCAGCTATTGATGACTGTCCGACCTCGGCCTTAATGATGACTGTCCGACCTCGGCCTTATTGATTGATTGTCCGACCTCGGCCTTATTGATGATTATCCGACCTCAACCCGCCGACCTTGGCCTTATGTCTGTCCGACCACGGCCTTATGTCTCCGCGTGCCGAATTTCTCTTATCTAATTTTGACCCATACAGTTAGTCCCTCCGCTAATTGAGGTTGTCTCTTGGTCGAGCTCGGTGAGCGGAATTCATTAATCGTAGTTCGAGAAATTCGGATGGGGAGGTCGACTAGTGTGGATCACGACTGAAGGTGCCGATCTTTAGGTCATAGTGGTATCCCGCGGGCTGAACTTTAGCAGAGTTCGATCAGGGCCAATGACTCGAGTGATGAGTCGATCGAGAAGACAGTAGAGTTGGGGAAGGCCGTCGAGGCCGGGATGGCGGCTTTAGCAACGATGGAGGCATTGGAGGAGGTCATTCGCGTCCTCGGATCTGGACGGGCGAGTAGGCCGAATGTGAATTCGGTCGAGGCCGAATGTCGATTCGGATGAGGCCGAATGTCGATTCGGACGAGGCCGAAGGTCGATTCGGACGAGGCCGACTGTGGATTCGGTCGAGGCCGACTGTGGATTCGGTCGAGGCCGATTGTGGATTCGGTCGAGTCCGAGTGTTGGTTCGGTCGAGGCCGTGTTGGTTCGGACGAGGCCGAATGTTCGGTCGAGGCTGAGTGTTGATTCGGTCGAGGCCGAGTTGGTTCGGACGAGGTCGAGTGTTGATTCGGTCGAGGTCGAATGTTGATTCGGTCGAGGCCGAGTGTTGATTCAGACGAGGCCGAGTGTTCATTCGGACGAGGCCGAACGTTGATTCAGACGAGGCCAAATGTTGGTTCGGACGAGGCCGAATTCTTCTTTTTGGCGATGGCCCTTAGCCGTAGGGGTCGACCTCTTCTTTTTTGGCGATGGCCCTTGGCCGTAGGGGTCGACCTCTTCTTTTTTGGCGATGGCTATTGGCCGTACGGGGTCGACCTCCTCTTTTTTGGCGATGGCTCTTGGCCGTACGAGGTCGACCTCCTCTTTTTTGGTAATGGCTCTTGGTCGTACGGGGTCGACCTCCTCTTTTTTGGCGATGGCTCTTGGCCGTACGGGGTCGACCTCCTCTTTTTTGGCAGGGGTCGACCTCTTCCTTTTTGGCGATGGCTCTTGGCCGTACGGGGTCGGCCTCCTCTGTTTTGGTGATGGCTCTTGGCCGTAGGGGTCGACCTCTTCTTTTTTGGCGATGGCTCTTGGCCGTACGGGGTCGACCTCCTCTTTTTTGGTGATGTCCCTTGGTCGTAGGGGTCGACTTCTTCTTTATTGGCGATGGCTCTTGGCCTTAAAGGGTGTTATTTCGAACTTATCGAAATGTTAACCCGTTGTCGTTCGATCAAGGTCGAACTCTTCTTCTTTGGTGAAGGCCCTTGTCCTTAAAGGGTGTTCCCCGGGGGAGTCCCAATTTTGCTTAGCTTCTGCATTTCTTGGGTGAGTCCGAGTTTGCTTAATTTTGCTTGCATTGGAGAATACGACGCGTTTCTCGGGTGACTGCCCCTACTT